TTGGTGCCCCTCCTACCCAGGTCTCTGGATGTTTTTTTCCAGATGTCGGTAGTAGAGGCACCAGCCTCTGCGGGAGTCTACTGGTTCAGATTTGATGCTAAACCATCCAGTTGGTGTGTGCATGGCCCTTATTTTTGATCAATATCGGTTTAGTATGTTGTTCATGGAAGGAGATCCACTATCTCCTCGTAATTCAGAACGCAGAGTGGTCCCATCCTGGGTCCTTGGTTGAGCACAGTGTTCCACGTTCTCTTCATAATTCCAGGGGCAAGTTGAATGCTCTTTGCCCACTTGGTTGGGGTGTGAGGATGAATGTTCATAATTCCAGATCAGATGATGTACGTTCCTTTGATTAAGTAAGGCATACACAATCCCGTCATTCTGATGTTGCCTTTCAGACTTCTTCGGGTGAAAGAGAAAGTTTGTCTGTTTCGGTGTTGCTTCCTTTCTCGTCATGATTTTGGTGGTTTGGAACAGATCACTCTATGGCTACAGGTTGGGATCCAATCAAATGTATATATATATATATATAACATTGTGGTCCAATTGCTCTAGCCATCAACGTGGGATATAGGGACCAAGACCCCTTAATTCCAACCCTCAGTTGTGGAACCTTGGCTATCTGGTTGGGGCTGGTCTATAGTGATAATTACTCATGTACTATTCCACCCTTAATACAGGAACTAAGTTCTGGGTGAAGAGCATGCCTGTTTTAGATGTAGTGCGGCTTCCCCACTCGAGTACTGATTTTATCTTGGTACACTCATGATCTATGCTGATGCTTTCTGTATGGATAATGCCCTCACCAGCCCCTCCACATTCTCAATGTGGGATCCTAGCTGTCAGAAAAGGTAAGTGTGTTTTGGAATTAAAATTTTCCTAAATTGAAAATGTATTTCCAATAATACTTAAATCTGCTAACACCCTCCCACCCTTCCTCCCCACTAAGAACCGGTGTTAGTGAAGGGGATGGTGTAAGTCTCGAAAAAGTGATTACATTATTTGAATGAGGTGCTTATATACAGTACCAGGATAGAGGGCGCATTGATGTAGGATATCACGAGGTAAATATCATCAAGGGCATTTAAGTGTGGTATAAAAGACTGAAGCAAGCGAGACCAATGCTTAGATAGGCAAAGCTGAAGGACGAGGAATAGCTGTCAGTGTCAGCAGAGGTAAGTATTATTAGAAATACATTTTCAATTTAGGAAAATGTTAACTTTTAAAGTCCACTGACATGAGGAAATTCTTGATGTTCAGAAGGTTGAGGGAGAATCTGTAAAATTATGGGTCTATTTGTGGATTTTCTTTTGTTAACAAGCTGTTAGAATCTGTTGTCTGAAATAATTTAAAAAACATCAGTTGGGTAGTATGCATTTTAAATTCATGAGAAAAAACCTAACTTCATGAGATAGTGTGCTACCCTTATACTTCCTATGATTAACAACCATTAGCATGGTTTTAAAGCAGTTTTCATACCTAACCAACTTATAATGGTTCCTTGTTGCAATTAAGGAGTCTAGACTTTTTTGAAAGCTATGAATATTTTTTGTGTACTTTTTCATAAGTCTTTGACTCCATAAAGTTTTTAAGATGGTTTATGCTTTTCATTTTGCTGGGCACAAGCTTTTTGGAGTAATTTGTGTTTTGCTTTGTTTCCACACACCAGTAAGGTTTTTTTTTTAAATGAAAATTATAATTACTTCAACTAAACTACTTTGTTAATAATAAACTATTATATTTCTAACAGTCATGCTGTTAGCCTACTTTTAAAGTTAAAAGAACTGATGTCTTCATATTTTAATAACTGTTGTAAAATATGATTTTATTCAGGTGTGCTTAGATAATCTTTCTAAATTTCCATGCTGGTGTTCTGCATTTAGTTAGTATCTCCCTGTTAAATTGGATGTTAGAAGGTTAAACTTTTACTAATCCTCTTTCTTAAGTAAAGGTTACATATTATTATGTCTTTTCTATAGAAATTTGTATCTGCTGGGCCCTGTATCTATCTCCCTTGGAATAAAATCTATTTATTTCAAGGGGATGTACACAGACTTGTACAAATTAGTATAAGTTGGAGGTGGGAGTTTATCTCGCATGAATAAGTTTGGAATGATTTTTGACATAGTGTAATCTAAGGCTTGTAGAGTACCAAACTTTATCTGGCCTGAAAGTATGGCATTTATCACTTTGTTACTCTTATTTTTGTTTTGGGCTCAGTTCATCTTCTTTTTTGCATATAGTGCTTATTTTTTCCTAAATTTTGCCTTTGTATTACTAAACTCCTTTCTTTTTATGCTTTGAAACTTTTGGCTATTATTTAGGTTTATGGGTTGGCATTCTAGTTTAATAACATTTGGAATCTACATATACATTCAACATGTGTGACCTGTAAAATTGAACTAGAATACTTATAGTGAGATTACCCACACGTTTTATTTTAATGTCAATCTTGTCCTAGAACAAAATTTTTTTTATTGTGATGGAATTTTTTAAAGAATCTGCAACGTTATCAGTTGAGAAATATATGGTTGGGTTTGTATGCAGATAGTTTTAAACCTCTTCTCTTTTGTATTGTGTAATTGTTTTTTCTTGTACCTGCTTTTAATGTTTATAAATTCTCCATTTATGGTGTTAGAAAAATATATAGGTTCAAGAAATAAACTTAACACAAAGTGCTACATTTAACTCTAGAGTGTCTTTGAAAAGTGGGCCTTTCTTCTTAAGGGGCAAACTGGGAATGTGTGTGATAGCCTAACTGTGAGTAGTCTTTACTGATTAATATAGTTGGCTGGTGTAGAGTGATTGTAAAACAAATTCAACATTTGAATTGCCTAATAGTTTTGTTCTGAGTTTACTTAGTGGTTAAGTATATCTTATTACAAATTACAGCATAAGTAACCACTATCAATCCTAAAATTTAAATACATTTTTAGATTGTTGAATGTTGATTTAAATACTAAAAACCTTCTTTACAGTTAAAACTTGTGTACTTGAGAATTATCACCTTTAGTGATCAAAACGTTGTACCTGTTCTAAAAAATAGTCTTTCTTACTGTAAAAGCTGTAACTTCTAATAAGATATTTGAATCGATTATATCATAAAACCACTTTTCCTGATGAAGACAAATTTTCACCAATGACATATTGAGAACTGAAAGTATGGACATAGTATAGTATGTTTCAAAGCCATATTACACTGCATACCTAAATCACAGTTCTTGCAAACCAGCATTACTTTTATTATAATTTTTTTCTCTTTTTAAACGTTGATCGGTGATTTGATGAAGATGCATATCACTTTGCAGGTTCAAGAATAAACTAACAATATCCAGAACAGTTGATAATTGCAGCATCATCATTTAATAATAGACTTGATATAATGATTGTAAATGTATTGAACACTTTCTGTGACTGTTTTTGAAACACCATGTATCATGTTCAACCTTTCCTAAGTAAGAGGACAAGTAGTTTTTAAGGTATATAAGTTTTAGATGTAAGTTTCCTTATAGTCATCCTGTAGATACATGTATGTTTGTTGATAAAGTTTAATTTCATGTTAAAATGACTGTAATATGTATTGTCTTGATACAAAAACGATTTATTGAGAAAAATTTAACTGCTATATATGAACAAAGTAGTTTATGTTACAAAAATTTTAATTGTGAATATAAATGGTAGTATTTATGGTGTCAGGAACTTTAGTTTTTATCAACAGTATTTTTTATCTGGGCTTAAAACTACATTTATACTGAGAAATAATGTTCAAGACTGAAAGGAAATTTGCTAGATGAACTTATTGTTGTTTTTAAAAAGCATGATTAATTGTTGTATGGAACTATACCTTTGCTCTTTTTTATGCTATATAATTTAAACGCTGAATGACAGTCAGCTTTGTTATTAAAGGTTTTATCCCTAAATGATTGTCACATTCTTAGACAGAACTTAGAAACAACATATTTTCATGACCTGTGTCAGTTGGAAAAGCAATACAAGTTGTTTACACAACATACCTGTTCAAGTGATGCATATCTTAAGCAGCTAGAAAATGAAATGGATATTCATGCTATTCCATACAAAGAAATGGCAGCTATAGCATTTATGGATTTCAATCTTTTGAAATAGATCCTGGGAAACTGTCTTCCTGTTATATTTAGACTAAGGAAAATATGCAGAGAGGAAGATTGTGCTTTGGACATGACAGCTTTGTGCAGTGAAAAGTACATTGCAGAGTTATAGTCAAGATGCATAGTTGTCAGATAGAACATGACTGGATATGGTAACATGGGCTGTAATGATTTGGTGAAGCTCAAAATTGTTTTAACATAATGTACTCAACCTCTGTAAATGTATTAGGATTATTCTGCTAAACAGCTGTAAAGAAGATTAAAATAATTTCAAAGTTTTTTCGTACAAGATGCTAGAATAACTGCATGCAACTAAGATACATTAAGAATTATTCAATTTTTGGACATGTTAAAATCAGGAATTTTTCTATCATTCTGTTGGCTCAATTTTTACAGTAGATGGGTGTAGTCAAACCTGATGATGATGCCTCGAAGGCTAGTAATGTAAACATTGAACTTTTCAGTAAGCTGTCTGTTCTGTTGATGTTTCAGTCAAAGTTCTTGATCTAACAAGTTAACCTTGATATTTGCTTCCAACACGTCATTCAAAAGTTTCAGCATTTTAAACTATCCAATCAAATATTACAAAATTCCTCAGTTTATGGATTTTCCAAAGAGACTGTTAGATCAAGAACTTTAACTGAAACATCAACATAACAGACAGCTTACTGCAAACTTCAGCATTTACAGCCTTTAAGACACCATCAGCAGGTTTGATTACACCCAACTACTGAACAAATTGAGCCAGTACAACAACAAAAAAATTTCCTACATTGAACTTGTCCATAATTAGAAGTTGGTTAGATTGACTAACAACTTATCTACCATGTTTTATTGACTTATTACTGTGATTTTTATTATTTCATGTTACAGGCTTCTTGATTCAATTTGGTGACAGAAGATCCCTATTCTACATTTAGCAGGTGGCTCTTCATGTATGTGTGCTAATGAAGTTTAAGTAAGTACAGCATTTTTCAGAGAAACTGTTTTGATTTTGAGAAGTTTTATAGTGTATCCTTATCCAGTACAGAAAAAAGTGTAATGTCTTCAGTATCATCACAGCATACCCTCTTTCAGGCATTGGAATATGGTAATAACATATTGTACTTACATGAAAAGACATTGTCTATGATCTGATTAATCAGTTTCAATTGTTACAATTTTTTTTTATTACATTGTGTAGGTTCTTCGTGAATGACGAGGCCTCTGGCACAACTTACACAAATACAAATAACATAATAGTGGCAAGTCTCTCACTCAGCAGTGTAAATCATAGGGTCATCATGCATCATGAACCAAGAAAACAAATGGAATCATGAAGATAATTCAGTTGATGCAATAACAATACAGTGTGATGATCTGTGAATTAACTTTCATGTTATCGTAACATATTACATTATGATAAAATGTTGAGAAGATATAAGATGTTTAAATGGTGCTATTACAATATGTAGTATGATTAGTTATTAATGAATTGTTGTGGATAGGAATACTTTAATAAATCTTTACTTTTACTACCAAATGAACATATCTGACACCCAGTAACGATTTGTTGGCCTAGAGCATGTACACTAGAGAGAGAGCTGTTGATTGTGAAAACAAATTGAATATACTAAAGCTTTATTACCAATTAATTAAATCAATTTGAATTCATAAGTTCCACTTATAATAACATAGCCTATAAATTACTTGGTAGTATTGGAAAAAGATGAGAACTTGCTAAAATAAACTACTAAAAGCAGGCATGTTGGGGAATGCTCACTGAGGCAACAAAAACATACCTAAAACTAAATTCAAGGACAAAGTGTTTACATTTCCCCATACAAAGTATATACTAATGGTGTAGACTTTGAAGGTTGAACTCCTTTACCTTGTCTTTACTATAAGTGTTGCTTTTCTGATTTACCATAATTTTCTACATACATGGATATCATGCTGTAAAAATAATATAGTATACATATATTTAAGAGCTGGTGAGGGATGAAAAGGAGGAATTATTTTTATATCTGCTTCCTGTTGAACTTTATATTAGTTGTTTGAACAGAGTTTAAATTCTTTTGCAAATTACTCACAAATCTATTCTTGGCCTGGTAGTTTTAGGAAAATACTAGTAACTGCATTATTTTCTGCAGCTATTTGGTCATTTTTATAAATTGATATGTACAAATCAAATTCAGGATGCTCTTTATTAAGTCCTAGTCCAACCAATTCAACCCAGTACTATTAAATAAAATAACCAATAAAAACACAAATCCACTGATTTTTGTTTTTTTAAATTTAGGAATAAAGCAAAATGTATGAACAAGTGTAGTTCAGTCCTTGTTTGCATGTCAAACTGATCGTAATATCTATACTATTGGCCAGAAGTAACAGCGTTGTAATGGTGCTGATAAGTCATGAGGGTAAAGTATACAATATACTTCTTTAATTATATACTAAAATTGCATATTCACAACCATAAAAACACCTATGTTTTGTCGCGGTGGCTACTAGGGTGAGAGATAAAACGTATTGTGGCTTATTTTCTTTCTTTATCTGCTTAGGATTGTCTTCTAGGATTACCAAGCTTTTTCCCATTTTAACTGTGACTGGTTATCAGGCTGCTTTGATAGCTTTCCTCCATTTCTTTTCTGAGCCTCGTGTTGTTTCGTTTGAAGGATCTTGTTTGTGTCTATTTTTTTCAGTGAATGTATATTCCAATTTATGTCCAGCTAGCTGATCTTTATCTACTAATCCTAATCTTTAATCAGTAAAATATAGAATTGGTCTGGTAACCTTTTGTAATAGCTAGGTTATAAATGTCAGCAAGGTCTGTGTGCCTTGTTTTGGAGTGAGATTTGTTTTTAGAAGTCTTTATAGTTAATAATTACAAGTCTCTTGGTTTACCTTTTGAAGTGTGCTGATCAGATGTCTCATAATTACCTTTGCTAAGTTGATCCATCTATCTTGTTATCAATACATACTTCAGTATTAGTGTATTAAATACAGGTTCCAGTCATGTTTGACATCTCCTGTATTCATAGATGAGAGGATTTGTTTTCTGAAATGTTCTTCTCTTTATAGGTATGAGAATTACAAAGTTTTATTTAGGACCAACTCAGAATGTAAACATTTTATCTATCATGTTGAACATGTCTCCATAATTTATATTATGACACTTTTTCTTCATTTCAAAATAAGATTAGCCTGCATCTATTTTTCCATGTCATTTTTGTTTTGTTGATCTGTAATTTCAACATGTACTGTGCATGTTTTCTGAGAAAAATGCTTCAGTTTCACATAGGCTTTTGATCATTTAATAGGACATGATTTACTTGTTCATTCTTCTACAATTTTGGATTTATGTTATATTGAGGTGACCTGTATATTAATTAGAAAGCCTATGAACTATGTACTTGTCATATAATAATGGCTGGAGACGGCTTAAATGGGTAATGAAGAAAAACTTTAATATAAGTTTAACAT